GAAAAAAAAAAAAAAAAAAAAAAAAAAAAAAAAAAAAAGAATAAAATAACCTCACTTGCAATAGTTTTCTTGGGGTTGTATACAGTAAGCTTGAAAGTCCCTACCCTGTGCCCAACACTATACTTTATGGGTATCGTTTCATTTTATCCTCACAGAAACCCTCAAAGTAGGTGTTATGAGCCTTCTCCCTTTTACAAAGGTGAAATGGAGGCTTGTGTTCTCTAGCTGATGCAACAGAAGTAGGATTTAGTGTCAGGTTTATCTAAAATCAAGCTACTGCCCCTAGCTGTCTTCATTTTAAAGGGTTCTTTTATTACAATGTAACTTTTTGCATTATCTGTGGAGGCCTTAAGCATGGTCGTGTGTTCCAGACTCCCACATAATTCCACGTATGCCAGGCTGTCTTGCTTGTGCAACTCCCTGCTGTAGAGACATTCAAGACGGTCCATGCTCACATCTCCAACCACATTTTCCAGTTTTATCTCTTCCCTACTTATTACACACTCTGCCTTCCACCCAAATCTGACTACTCATTTTTGTGATCTGAACATGCTTTGCCTTACTGCATCTGGTCTTGGCCTGGATGCATTGGTACAGAAATCATCCTGCAAACTCAGATATGCAGAAATATAACTTAATTTTTCTCTAATCTACTTAATTTCTATTTGAATCCTTCTTTCTACTGGGATTGAGGGAAGTTAATAGATGTTAAGCAGGAAGGACCACATTATTTTCAGGGCCCAGTGCAAAGTGAACATGCAAGCCCCTTGTTTAAAAATTAAGAATGTCAAGATGGCATCAGCAGAATGTTAAACCCAACACCGAACCCTTCTGGGTATGGAATGCTGTGTGACTGTGTAGGTCACACACCCATGAAGCTGGCCTTGTGGTCACTTTTGGATTCCTCCCATTCCTGTGGTTATGTGTTAATTCTGGCATAATTACATAGTACACACTGTGGGGAGGAGGCATAAGATCCCTTGGGGTCTCCTTTCCATGCTATCTGCTGAGAAAGCCCATCTTTCTGGCCCTTCATCATTGGTCCAAGCAGGTTGCCTCATTCTTGTCATGAGGCCCTTCTACCACTGTTGCTCCAGAGCACGAAGGAAGAGCTCTGAGTCTGCCTCAGACCTAAACACGCTCCCGCTCTCAAACTCTCAATCTGTCTAGAGGGCTCACCCCCTCAGGACTCATCTTAGGGGAAATGCAAGGCCCTATTTCTAAGGACCTACAACAACTATGTCCTCTCTTTCTCTCCACCTGCATCCTACACCCTATCCTAGAGTAACCTTACCTTGTCCCAGGTTCTGGAAATTTGTATCTTAGTCAAGCCTTTTCTATGCCCTGAAACCTTTACATTTCCCCTCAAAGCCCAAACTATGGAACCACAAAAGCCAGGAGGAGGGTTCCCTTCTCTCTCTTTTCTTCTTTTGGTATTCCCTCAAATAACAAATATCCAACAGTAACGATTTCTTAGTGGAGAAAAATAAACCAGAAATTACGAAGTCAGGGAGGAGGATGGAAGGTGAGAGTCAAATACAGAGAAGGAAAAA